CCCCAAGAACCCCCCGGCCGGCGGGGGAAACTGTGGGAGCTGAAGTTCACACATCTTAAAGCTACCAAGGTTGAGAACACTCTTATAGACTGACTCCCTCCTATACACAGGAAAACACTATCCATCATGCACCAGAGTACTCCATACCAGGAATCCCTCCTTAAAAATGTAAAAACACCCTCACATAAACCTTAGCTGCCATTGACTGCATAGACGCAAACTTGCAGCTTTCTTGCCCACAGTACAAAGCTAGTTGACAACTGCCTTAATTAAATCATTCCCTTTCTGTAAAGGACAAGAGATCAGCCACAATCACTTTTCTATACAGACAGTCCTCTACTTACAAACTTTCAGGTTACGAACTTTCACCAATACGAACAAACCTCAACAACTCCAGCAATGAAGGTCCCTGAAGGAAGGTCCTGGAAGTTTAGGGTGCACATGTGTACATACACCCAGAAGTGTATGGTGCACCGTACATGTACACCTAGAAGTTTACAGCACATATGTGTACATATGCAGCACACTGTAAACTTCTGGGCATATGTATGTGGCGTGCCATGGTTGGACTTATGAACAAAATAGACTTACGAACAGCCTCTTGAAACATAACCTGTTCATAAGTAGAGGACTATCTGTATTCCTTCTTACAACAGCAGCTTGAGGCTAGTGAAACACATCCCGAACACTGCCAGAAATCTTTTAAAGGGGCTGTTGGTAAGTAGTACCATGTATGGTTTACAGGCAGAAAGTGCCTGTGGCGGAACAAGCTGCCATGATAGCTGATTTAAAAGTGTGTAACTTCTCATGGGTATCGGATATTGTACAGTATTTGTTGTCGTTGTTGTTTTCCACTGCCAATCTTAGTAACTGCTTGTTCAGAGTAGTTGCATTCCATAAGTTCCCAGTAATTCTCTTCTCACATTCTCACATGCACGTTTGACCGCAACTTATCCCTGCACTGCCCTCCTTTGATCTCTCTGGCCTGTGCTACTCTCTTCCTGCTGCCTGATTGATATCCTGCCTCTTTATCCAATACTCTGTGATTGGCAGGACCAATCATAGCCTGATCACAAGGGTTATTCTTATTTGAGGAGACACCTGCCAATTATTGATCTAATTCTCCTCCCTGCTCACATCATCATGGCACTGTTTTGCAGTGCCCTTTTTTGTTTGTTTCACCTTGCGTGGGCAAAAAAAGACGTACATATATAGAAGTTGATAAGATGGACTGGTAGCCTGGATTGTTAAATATGGGTCAGGACAGCTAAAGATCAAAATAAGATGAGATGAGATTAGTGAAGAATGCTAAGAATAACACATGGGCTTCTCATTCAAAATAGAAAGAAAAGAAATAGTATATCATTAGTTCAGTGAGAATGACAAAGTGGTCCCAGAGAGTAAAGAAAAGATAGAAATCCTCACTCCTGCTCTGACTTGCTCTTCTCTGAGAAAAGGGGCACCTCGCTAGGCACTTGTGAAGAGGTGGCTGAAGAAGCAGGATTCCAACTTGAGCTTGATAGAAACGTAGTCAGAGAATTCCTACTGACTTTAATGCATTCCGTTTTCCAGGGCCAGATGAGCCGCATACCAAAGTGCTAACTAAGTGATAGTCTAGCAAAACCTTTACATATATATTACCTTTGAAAAATCCTGGAGAACTGCTAAAGTGCCAGGTGACTGGAGCAGAGCAAATGTCTCTATCTTCAAAAAGAAGAAAAAGGACTCAGAAAATTACAGACCAGTCCGCCTGGGAAGACTCAGAAGCAAATCATAAAATGAATTATCTGTAAGCATTGTTAAAAACAGTGTTGTGATTACTGGGAAATCAACATTGATTTGCAAGAACAAATGTAGTTAGCCTAATCTTTCAATTTTTGATTGAATAACTTTCTTAGTAGATTATGGAAAAGCTACAGATGTAATATGTCTTGATTTCAGCAAAGCATTTACAGAATATCCTATGCTGTTGTGACTAACAACCTAATTAAGTATGGCATGAATTCCCTGAAAAGCTCAAAATACTTCTCCCTGCTAGGGTTATGTCCTGAATTCCAGCAAATCTTTTCCTCAAAGAATATTAAACAGTGTAGCTATATTCAATTTATTTGTGGAAAGTGGGGGCACTGGAAACTCTTTCTTTTCTGGAACAAAGTGTACTCTGGACTAACAGTAAAGTGAGCTCAGTTTTTTGTGCAAATAGTCCAGTAACTCATCAGAAATGTATGTAGAAAATGTTTAGACTTTCTTTATGGTTCTAAACTTCTTTTATAACCCAGCAAGCTAATTTTGATTCAGCATTAAAACTCAGAAAGTAACTTGGAAATAAACCAAAGATGTGATTTCTCAATAAGAATCCAGAAACCCAAAGACTCTATATATATGGAGTTTGTGCTCTGAGGAGGACCAACAGCATCATCTAGAGTCTTTGGGTTTCTGGATTCTTATTGAGAAA